GCTCTGTCACCCAGCGCCGCGGAGATCATTTTTTATGAACACATCAATTATATTTTCCGTGGCTTGTTGTAAAAACAATTATCTCCCCGTTGCAATGCACGGGCATATGTGCTAGTACTTCTATAAATTCGCTAAAAGAAAAACAAAAAACAAATCCAAAACCGAAACAAATCAAAAAAGGGCCGATCGTATGTGACGCCCACGTGCGTCATATAGATGCAGGTTCGCTGAAGAGAGGAGCAAGATCCACCGGCCAGTTCCACGCGCGTGCATTGTGTTCTGTCATCGTTTTTCCCTTTTAAATATTTTCTTGATATTTATAGTTTTGCAATATGTGGTGAATTCTGTTTTCCAAATAATTTTCATATTTTCAGTATCTGTTGAATTGTTTTTAGAATTAACATTGGAAAATTTTGTATATATGATGAAATTTCTGTTATATATGTTTAACATTATATAAGTATACGATAAACTTTTTCTAGTTATAAGATAATTTTTTTGTTAGTACATAATGAACATGTTTTAATATACAGTGGAAGATTTATTATAAAGATTGGACATTTGTTTTATAAAAACACAGGTTGAACGGTTTTCTAAAAATATATTTTATTTGTAAAAGGTTTTCTATTAGCTTTTTAATAGAAACACCGGAGAAGACTAGGAGCTCTATCTCGGAGGGCTAGTCATATTTAACGCGTACTAGGGCTGGCCCAAGTAGGTTCCATTAGATTTTTTGTTTCATTTTTTCTTTCTGTTTTTTATTTTATTGTTTCCTTCACTGTTATCATTATCATTTTTTTCATTCCTTTTATTAATATTTTTTATTTTTTAAATCTTATTTTATGTTTCAAGACATGATCAATTATATGAACCTGGGTATATTATCCAAAATGTAAACAGTTTCTGAAATTCATAATATTTATCTAAATGGTGAACATTTTCCAAAAAACTTATCGTTTTACTAAATTCTAGAATATTGTTCTGCAAATGGATGATCAATTTTCGAAATCCAGGAATATTTGAGGAAATCTTGAGCCTTTTTCAATTTTGAACATTTTTTAATATCGAAGAATACTTTTCAAAATTGTTGTACATTTTTTAATCCAAGAGTATATTGAAAATTTGTGAAAATTTATTTGAACAAAACTGTGACAGTATTTTAGAAATTCATGAACATTTTTTGAAATATGGGGAAAAATCAAATTCGTTAACAAATTTTATGGTGCAAACTGGGCAGGATGTATTGATGATAGAAGATCAACTGGGGTCTTCGTAGTATTTTATGGTGCAAATCTAGTTTCTTGGAGTGCGAGAAAACAAGCTACAGTGTCTCGCTCAAGCACTGAGGCTGAGTATAAGTCGCTGGCAAATGCAACGACAGAAGTCATTTGGGTGCAGTCACTATTGAGAGAATTGGGTATACCCACGAGACATACTCCATGTCTATGGTGTGATAATCTTGGGCCAACCTATTTGTCAGCTAATCATGTCTTTCATGCACGTACCAAGCACATTGAAATTGACTATCATTTTGTCAGAAAAAGGGTGGCAAGAAAACTATTTGATGTTCGTTTTGTGTCTTCAAAGGACCAGGTGGCAGATGGATTCACTAAAGCTCTACTAGTTCGAAATCTAAAAGACTTCAGACGCAATCCCGGATGCTTCCTTAGGACCACTGACCTCGCCGGTTCAGCGCAGTCATGCCCTGGTCGCTTTTTCATGTACACTGCCGAGCGCCTCGCTACTGGCTCTCCGACCAATTTTCCTCCCCGATGGAGCCGCTCGTTCTCAACGCCCCCAACGGCCAATGGTGAGGTCTGTTGGGTTAGCGTTAAAATCATTTTCCGCATTTTTTAATTATTATATTTTTTATTTACGTATTGTAGTGTTTGTAGAAACAATAGTTTGGCGTCCCGCCGCGAAACACCTCGCATCGAGAACCTGGAACATCTCATGTTTTATGGCTCTTCCCTCAATTCATCGAGGAAAGACCGTGATGTCCACTAAGATAACAGGAGTGGTTTTCCTTTTTTGCGATTGGAAAGGAGTTTTATTAATCAATCAGGAGCAAGTTCAGCCTTACAGAGTTCCGGAACAACATCCGGCCCCGAACCGAGCGACACCACTGTGCGGCCTTCAGTTCTACCAAAAACTGCTAAAAAATGGCTAACACTATTTTGTTCCCTACTTACATGATCTAACTTAAACCTCATTCCTTCATTCAGAAGCCTTTGAATCTGATCCACTAGCATAGAATAACGAGACCTGTCTTTCTCCGGAGCCTTGATCGTGTTTAGCGCAGCAAGACAGTCCATCTCCACATCTATCGGTTGTTGGCTCCATTGCAGCACGAGGTTAATTCCCTCCATGCAAGCTAGCAGTTCGGCCTCTAGGGCTTCTACGCACGCCCGCAGTTCTCGGCAAGAGGATAAGATGATCTCGCCGATGCTATTGTGGGGGATCATACCCGCCCCGATCGTCCCTGTGTTGGCGCAGAAGGATCCATCCACATTCATCTTAGTACATCCTTCAGCCGGTGGAGTCCATCTAGGTGCAGGCACACTAGTAGGTCATGTCGGAGCATGCGCTCATGGGGTCCGAGACCTCACCACTTCCACCACTTGTTTGCCTTTCACCGGATCAGCGGTCGGGTTGTTCTGGATGCCCACAAGTGAGTCAACGTAGCTTACGAGGAATCTCTTCGAGGCTTCGATCGAGGGCGCTGGCTTGTTGTGCGTCATTTCGTTACGAACGTGCCAGCAACGCCACAACATCATCATGAGATCCATCCTCTCTGTGTCAGGGAGGTCACAGAGAGTTGGCGCGGGCCACTCCGTGCCCGTCCGATGGAAGTTCACTGCATGAGGAAATCGTCAGTGCTCCGTCATCGCTTCCCATAATGCCACCGCCCTAGGGCATCTGCAAAACGCATGAAACGTGTCCTCCGGCTCCATTGCACAGAGAGGACACTGGTCAGAGACCTCCAAACCGCGCCCTTTTTTATTAACCCAGGTGGGCAAGCAATCTCTGATCAAATGCCAAATAAAGGTGCGAACCTTGGGAGGAGCAGGGCACCTCCAACTAAAAGCCCAGATGGCTCGTCGCCCGTCCGGTGCCTTGCTCACCGTGACTGAAGAAGATCGAAGATGATCCTCCAAAGCAAGTCGATAAGCACTCCGCACAGAGAATCTGCCATGCCGCTCCGGAGCCCACGCAAGAAGGTCCTCGCCCATGGGTGGTGATGTCCGTATCTTGGCTATCTCCTCTGCATCCACCGGGAAAAAATTGTCGCGCAAGACGTCCATCCTCCATGCTCCGTGATTATCCAGCAGCTCAGACACTTTGCATAGACGACACCGTCCTTGCGGAGTGATCGGTCTACCTCCCCATGGATGCGGAATCCATTGATCCCTCCATATTCTGATCAAGTTGCCATTCCCCACACGCTAATTCAGACCAGATTTTAAGAGTTGCATCCCATGTTCCACCGCCTGCCAGGTCGCCGACGCCCCCCTTGAGAATACAGTATCCTCCAGGTTCCCGTTCGGGTAGTGGTTACTCTTATCGTCACCAGACAGCCTAGCCGAAAAAGATCATTCAAGGTTCTGGTGTTCCACACATTGAATTGAACCTGAGATTACTCAAAGAATCAGATGCAACCCCAGGGAATAATCCGGTAAATTATACAAGAGATCGATTCACTGCTTTCAATTATCTCAATAGACACAGTGCAATTGTTTGAATAGACCGATTTCAGTTTTTTCAAATTACTAATTTCAATTGCTTAAAAGAGAGATTTTCATCATTTCAATGACTTATTTTCCAATTAGCAATTCATTTTTTTGAAAGATTGATTTCTATTTGTTTCAAAAGACCAATTATAATTTATTAAAAAGATAGATTTTTCAGATTAATGATTTCATTAATTTTCAAAGAATGATTTCAATTATTTTCGTAGAACGGTTTCAATTATTTCAAAAAAATATCTTTTTTCAAATAATCCATTTTTATTTAGTATTTTTTGGCCAGCACCGACGGCGCACACAACATCATTGGAGAAATGAAATCTTTACCATCATGTTGCTTGGCGCCACCTTCTATATCGGTTTATGAACAACGTGATAGATTAGGTTATGGTCACATCATCCAGAGGGTTGTGACAAACACCTAAATAAACAAACTTTTACAGAATGTTCTGGAACAAGCTGGAACATAATGGTTTGACGCCATCAAAGCAAATCGTCTGGAACTGAAGGTTTTCCCTTTCCCTGGAATTAATATTCCACTTAGAGAGAAATGATTGGACTCAAGTGTTTTTATTATATCGTTATTATCACTGATCAAAATTTTATTCTCTAGAGGAAAAAATAGGTGATAAAGTGGGTCAACTAATTGCCACGTAGCACAGCTTCAAGCACATAATTAAAGAAAGCCTAGATACAGGCACCCTTCGAAACGTCGATAGTATATGATCGTACTTTATTTTTCTTGTAATAATAACAGTCTTCAAGCACACAGATAGTATACGGGCATGGTAGTAGTACAATATAGTCATATCCATTATTGGTAATAAACTCGATCGAGAAGCATGTCGGCATGTCGGCATTCTAGCCTCGAGTCAGAGTCCAACCATATCACTCACTGGTCCAATAAATCGGCAGTGTATTTTTCAGCAGGGAATCAAACAGTGACTTTTCTCGATCTCCACTAACAACGATTTGTCCGTCTCCATCGGGGTTTAGTACCAGTCCAAAAAATCGAGAAAATTTCCAGGATCCATTTTGCGTGGACGCAGTTTTTTTGATACTTCAGCAGTTGAGATTAACAGAATTTCCACGTATGGTATATATCAATATAATGCATGGACGGTACGAGAGCCCAGCCCTTCACGGCATGCAACAGCCATTTCTTGGTGCCGTCTTCTTGCCCCATGATGAGACATAAGAACACTTCACGGATCAGTTTCACAGGCACAAAACCAACAACCTACTCCAGCTGCCATGCGACTTGCCGCCATGGAGACCTCCCCTCACCTAAAACTCGTCTGGCTCGCTCTCCTGCTAGCCTTGTTTCCCCAGGCCATGGCAGCACCACCACCTTCCCTCCTAGAAGAACAGGCGGGAGCCCTCCTCGCGTGGAAAGCTACCTTACACAACCCCCCAGCCCAGCTCCGATCCTGGGGAAACACCACAACCCAGCCATGTGGCTGGTACGGCATCAAGTGTGGCGAGCATCAAGCAAGCATCACCCAGATCTCTCTGCAGGGGTTGCGGCTGAGAGCGGAGCTGGAGGCCCTCAACTTCACGGCGTTGAGTACTCTTACGAGTATCCGACTCTCCTACAACCAGATAAGGGGCTCCTTTCCACCAGCTTTAGCATCATCTTTGCCGAACCTGCGGCACCTACTGCTCCAGGAGAATGAAATCTCCGGTGAAATACCGAGGCAAATAGAACAACTAGAGAGTCTCGTGGGGCTGAACTTATCAAACAACCACTTGTCTGGTCCCATCCCCACTGAACTAGGGTACCTAAAGAAGCTGAAAATGTTAGATTTTTCCAACAACAACCTCATAGGCCTCGTTCCAAGAAATCTATGGAATGTGACCAAACTCACTTTCCTGTACCTTCAAACTAATCAGTTATCCGGATATCTTCCTCGAGAACTAGGTTACCTAGTGAATCTAAGACGCTTGGCTCTTAACAACAACAAACTCATAGGTTTCATCCCCGATACCTTTGGGAGTTTGAATAACCTCATTGGCTTGTATCTATGGGGTAACCAACTTTCTGGCCATATTCCTCGAGAACTAGGTTACATGGTGAATTTACAAGAGCTGACTATTAACGAAAACAAACTCATGGGTTCCATCCCTAATTCCTTTGGAAATTTGACCAAACTCACTACCTTATACCTATATGATAACCAACTATCAGGACAAGTTCCTCAAGAACTAGGTTCCTTGGTGAACCTAGAAGATTTGGAACTTAGCGAAAACAAACTCATGGGATCCATCCCCAATGCCTTTGGAAATTTGACCAAGCTCACTACCTTATACCTTGATACTAATCATTTCTCCGGACATGTTCCACGAGAACTAGATTCACTTGTGAATCTAGAAGACTTGGAACTTAGAGAAAACAAACTCATAGGTTCCATCCCCAACACCTTTGGAAATTTGACGAAGCTCACTACCTTGTACCTACATGATAACCAACTCACCGGACATGTTCCTAGAGAACTAGGCTTCCTGGTGAATCTAGAAGACTTGGAACTTAGTGAAAACAAACTCATGGGTTCCATCCCCAATACCTTTGGAAATTTGACCAAGCTCACTACCTTGTACCTACATGATAACCAACTCTCTGGACATGTTCCACGAGATCTAGGTTCCCTTGTGAATCTGGAAGACTTGGAACTTAATGAAAACAAACTCGTGGGCTCCATCCCTAATACCTTTGGAAATTTAACCAAGCTCACTACCTTACACCTCGATGGCAATCAATTCTCCGGACATGTTCCACGGGAAATTGGCAGCTTAATTGGACTCAAAGATTTAGAGTTTGATGTTAACAATCTCTCTGGTCCCTTGCCAGTTAACTTGTGTGCTAGTGGCATGCTGGAGAGATTAACTGCATCTGACAACAATCTCAATGGACCTCTGCCATCAAGTTTGGTAAACTGCAGAAGCCTAGTCCGTGTTCGCCTTGAAAGGAATCAAATCAAAGGAGATATTTCTGATATGGGAGTTTATCCAAATCTGGTATACATGGATATGAGCTCAAATAATTTTTTTGGTCAATTATCTTATAAGTGGGGTGAATGTCATAATCTTACAATGCTACGCTTCTCAAACAACAACCTTACGGGAGAAATACCCGCAAGTATGGGGCGACTATCAAACCTAGAGCTACTTGATCTTTCATCGAACAAGCTTGAAGGAGAGATTCCAAGCGCACTAGGAAATTTAAAAAATTTGTTCAACCTAAGCCTCGCTGACAATTTGCTCCATGGAAGCATTCCAAAACAAATTGGAGCGCTATCCAATCTAGAGTTGTTAGATTTCTCATCAAATAACCTGAATGGTTCGATACAAGATTCAATCGAGCATTGTCTGAAGCTTCACCTTCTAAAGTTGAATCACAATAACTTCAGAGGAAACATCCCTGACGAGGTAGGGTTATTGCACAACTTACATGGCCTATTGGATTTAAGCGATAATTCTTTTACTGGGGCAATACCAAGCCAACTTAGTGGTATGTTGATGCTAGATATTATGAATCTTTCACACAATGAACTTAATGGCTCCATCCCGTCATCATTCCGGATTATGGAAAGTTTGACATCCATTGATGTATCTTACAATGAACTGGAAGGGCCAGTCCCGGAGAGTAAGCTCTTCCAAGGAGCTCCAATCCAGTGGTTCATGCATAATAAGATATTATGTGACGTGGTGAAAGGATTGCCCCCTTGTAGTAGTGCAACTAGGAGGAGAGAGGAAAAGAAAGGGTACAAAATACTTGTACTAGCCATCGTTCCTGCTCTGATGTCTCTTGTTCTTGTTGCGTTGATTTTGATGTTTTGGCATGAAAAGAAGAAAATCAAGGACACTAACACCGACAAAGTAACACAAGCAGCTGCCTTCTCTATTTGGAGTTTTGATGGGGGAAATTTGTTCAAGCAAATCGTTGAAGCAACCAACGATTTTAGCGAGATGCATTGCATAGGGACTGGGGGATATGGATCTGTCTACAAAGCTAGACTTGCAACTTGTGAAATATTTGCAGTGAAGAAGATACATATGATAGAAGATGAGTGTTGCATGAATGAGCTAGTGTTCAAGCGTGAAATCGAGGCATTGGTGCAAATTCGTCATCGAAACATCGTAAGACTATTTGGGTATTGTTCCTCTAGCCAAGGCAGGTTCCTTATATATGAATATATGGAGAAAGGAGACTTGGCAAAAACACTAAAGGATGAAGAAAGGGCAATTGAACTGGATTGGAGAAGGCGGATACATATCATGATCGACCTTGTTCATGCTTTGGCATACATGCATCATGATTGTTCATCACCAATAGTACATCGAGATATAACAAGCAGCAACATTTTGCTTGATATAGAATTTAGAGCTTGCATCTCTGACTTTGGCACGGCCAAAATTCTCGATATGTATGGCCAGAATCTCACAAGGCTTGCCGGGACGAAGGGCTATCTTGCCCCAGGTAAATAAAACTAAAACCTTAACTACTAGTTTTGCAATTTTGGCAATACATAAGTACGTAGATGTAAACTTTGATGTAATCTAATAATTATGATGAACTTTGAACTGTTTAGCTGCAATATATACACTAACTAATTTTAATTATTGCAGAACTAGCATATACAGAAAATGTGACGGAGAAATGTGATATATACAGCTTCGGAGTGCTTGTTTTGGAGCTATTTATGGGATCCCATCCAGGCGATTTGCTCTCATCCCTCTCGTTGGCCACCAAAAGCAATGTTGTGTGCCTACAGGATCTGCTGGACTCCAGGCTCGTGCTACCAGATGCTGAAACCACTAGAAAAATATACTATATGTTCAACATTGCAGTTCAGTGCCTAGAGCCAAGTCCGTCACGCAGGCCAACGGCACGACGTGCCAGCGACGAGCTATCCACAATTAAAGCTTCTGAAGATCATGTCGATTATTTGCAGGCTGGCATCACCTTTCCTGCACTGTAGTGCCTATGGCTATGGAGGATGAAATCGTATCACACGGTTTCTTCTCAGCTACCTATATCTGCCCTAGCTACTTGTTTAAAAAGTGTTTTTTTCTATGTAAGGGTAAGAGAAGTAAAATCTGATGGTGTATATGGAACTAGCAAACCTGTAATTACAAACCGCTTTGGTTTGCTTGAACCAAGAGACAATTCACTGCTGCAAAACAACTCTGCCCTCACGGGTAGTCTTTGAGTAATTCGGTCATGTCAACGGTCATTTTCCTCCTTTGGAGAGGAGCATATGTATTTTCCCTACTGAAAACAGAGTTAGCTAACTATGACATTTCATTGTATGTTCTTGCTGCATAGCTCTCTCCCAGAGTTATCATAACGAGACAAGCAAAATTCACGTGGACAAATGTTCTTGCATCCTAAAAATCCAAAGAAAGGGGACTGGAGACTTAACGTGAGATGGTGGACCTTCTTGCCGCCGCTTCCTCAGGCTCGGCGCCACGCCAACCACACCAACCTTGGCACGGGCTCACGGCATGGTGTCGTGGCAGGCAAGGCGAGGCTGTGGCCCCGCCTAGGCGAGGTGGGCCCTCTTCCACCATGGCGAGGTTAGGTCCGGGATGAGCGGTTGGCTGATGTCGCTAGTTGAGGGGGCTACCGGCGCGCCGGTGGCCGTGGAGGAGTTTGGCCCCGCCCCGGTGTGCTTCGAGGAGGCCGTGGTGTCCAGGAGAAACCTGGCCGGTATGAGCACGGAGAGGCTCCTAGAGGCGTTCGACTTCATCCGGTGCAAGGCCAGGGCAAAGTGCAGCGTCGCCGACGCGCCCGGAGCCGGCAACAAAACTACAAACCTCCGCGTCACCATTCTCTTCCGCACGGGCGGCCGGTCCTTCAAGGACGAGGCCGGCGTCGAGCGGGTGTTCCACAAGGAGTGCAGGCGTGTAGCCGGGCCAAGCTGCGTGATGACCGTCGCACATTCGGACAACCTGACCTTCTGCGATCAGGTACCTAATGTTATGACTCAAACATCACATATATATACAACTGCATTGTGCTATGCATATTGAATTCATGCACCAGCCAACTCATCCAAAAGTCTGAACTGATGGATGGAGGTGGGCAATATATTTCAACACTCTCCCTCACGTCTAGGCTATTTTAGTCCTTAGACGTGGGATCGATGTAGGCCGCAGAATCGTTTTATTCAATACTGCGTTGGCAGGGTCTTGAACTCAAGACCTCTTGGCTCTAATGCCATACACTACAAGAAATCTGTTAATCCATGACGGATTTCTGATGACATTTTCAGAAACTGTCATGGACGGCCTGGCAGAGCCCCGCAAGCCCGCCAAAGCCCGCATAGACTTCACCCATATAAAATTCTAACCCTAACCCTCATCCTCTCCCTCCCCTGCAGCCCCTTCTGATTCCCCATCGTCCCTCCCACATCGCCGCCACCAACCATCTCCTCGCCTTCCTCCTGCCATTGCTCTCCGCTGACCCTCCCCCTTCTCTCCTCTCACCTTGCAGCACCAGCAGCTACCAGATACGCCGCATCCCACACGCATCGCAGCCAACGCCCGCCGGTTCCGGTGACTCCACCACCGCGCAACACACACATGAGCTGGTCTCCGACCCCTCCGTCCTCTAGGCAGCTGGATCCGCCGCTCCCGTTCTCCGGCGCTCGCCCACGACGCCTAGCCTGTGGCTAGGGTTTCAACTGCAGCGTCGCGTCCATCGTCGGCACGTCTCCAGCGGCTTCGCTCCATTGCACACCGCGCGGCCTCGCGCCCTCTCCACCTTCTGGATGGCGTCTCCCAGCTCAGTGTGTTCGCCCGCGTTGGGCTGCACGGCGGCGACCCCAACCTCCTCTCCTCTGCAGCATTTGGACCACTGGAGGCTCTCCCTTGACCATGTGAGCACCTCAATCCCCATCTTCCTCTCCCCCTGCCATCTTTTTTTTTGTTAGGATGGGCTTTGACTGACCGAACGTGCTCATCTGTCTAAATAAAGAGGCAATGATTCAGCCTAAATATTTATAGGTTCCTGAAAATTTTTGAACATCAAATTTTCACCCAATTGTTATAGGTTCTGCCATCTAATTTTCACCCAATACATAAAGATGTCAGGAACAATATTTACCCTATATCTGAATAAACCATATATCCAGGACCATTAGTTCATCCATGAATTCTAGGCAAGAGGAATAAGCTTACCCTGTACAAACATTGGTCCATGAGAATACGGAAACAGAGTCAGACCACAGCTGTTTCTGACCAAAACATAGCCAACTCAGTCAGAGTACTTTGACATCATAGTAACAGTTCTAAATGGAAATAAACTAACATACCAATGGTATTTTTATAAATAGAAATAATCAATGGCAAAGTCATAGTTCCACAGGAGTCTAGTGTCATTGTCACAAACTACTCATTTACTCTTAAGAAAAATGACACTGTATCCTTTTACATTAAGAAATCAATTGCTCTAACTGCACATAATAAGTGTTCAGCATGCAGCTGTATACATATGCTGAGATTATACATATAGCTCACAACCATGAGTGTTGCAGGTCCTGAACATACACTTGCTCTGACTGAAACATACTGAATTAGATACAAAAAGATCGCAGATAGAAGAGATGTCTAGATATCAGAGTTACAACTAGCGTGCTCCAATTAACAGGTAGAGATCACGGGCAGTTTGATGCATGCCTAAAAGATTCCTATTTACAAACCAAATACTACTAATCTGAAGGTCTTTTCATGCTCAATGAGATTGAATGGCTCAATGTAGTAGATCAGCCCTTCACTTTGCCGGCCCCTGAATTCTCTTAAGAACTATTCCTTCCATGATGTTGCCCCACGTGTGAGTAAATAATATCATAGTCAAGGAGGTAATTCGTTACGTACAAAGTAAAATGTAAAACATCAGCAGCAGTAGAATGAACTATCAATAATGGAAAATGTATGTCGATCTTGTCGCATGGTAAACAAAACATGATTTGAGGTAGACACATGGATGAACTGTGGTGACCATGTGGATATTAATCAAGGAGAAAGAATACAGAGATGGTTAGTTGCATATCTTTTAAAGCATGAACAGTATTCTCATCCAAGTGGGCTGCTGTACCAGTACGTATTCATTCACAATATTCAGGAAAATCCTAGATAGTAAAACATTGTAGATCAGAAGTGTTTTTTCTAGGTAAATTCCATGTCAACAAAACAAACAGGATATAGAGTGGTCATGAATTTGGAACCATAACAGTAGCAAGGCAAAAGGAAGTCAATATGAGGAGAACATTGTTGGGTAGTACTCACTGAACCCTGCTGAAAACGAAGATATGGTAAGTTAAAGCTTCATGGAGAAACTACACATCAGAAGATTGTGGATCAATGAGCCCCAACAAAATTTCAAGTTAAAGCTTCATGCACAAAAAAGGGCAGTATCCTGAAGCAAAAGTAAATTAAAGAAATCACATAAAAAGTAGAGTAAGATATGTTTAGAACTACAATTAAAAATGCGAGAAAACCATGCTCACCTTTCTTTAGCAACAGTTCACTTTCACTACTACCTGGTTGTACCTCTTTAATGTCCACGAATGTTTTCTTCTCTGCATAGAGTATGGGTCAAAAGTCAAAAAGGCGAAAAAGGCGCCGACACCGGTTACTTGGAAACAATAATTAACTTTTGTAGTTTGTTTACCTTCTTTTGTCTCTGGAGTATACTTTGTTTGTCCATACTTCTGCTCCAGAAAGACAGGAAAAATTGTAAGTAACAATGAAAGAAAGAAGAATTGATTACCTGACTTCTTCATTACCGCCTTGATGTCTTGTTCAATTATTACCTAACTTCTCAATATACTTGGATGAATAATCCTTCTGTTTTCCCTTCTTTTTTGTGTTTGCAAGCAACAGTTTAAATGATGCTGAGTTTATTTTGCTTATTACAGCAAAGGTGATGGATTTTATACTATTGCATTTCTGGAAATGCAGTGATGGATTTTATACTATTGTATTTCTGGAAATGCGTGTACACCGAATTGCAATCTGAAGGAGCGATGGAAGTGAAGGCTGCGTGCTTTTTCTTTAAGATAATCTAATTGTGTGCTTTTTCTTTAAGATATCTAATAGATGATATATTGCTTTTGCTTCAGATTTAAGAGTGTTTGATCTTCCATATACAAAAAAATGAGATCTAGGTATATTCCCTTGAATTATTTACTACATACATTTTCATGTGAGGGATGTTTATAGAAAGCAACTGAAATAATAATCAGGAATAGAGAATATGCTAGTAATCCTTTTTTATTATACTTTCCCTTCTATTCATTTTGTTGTAAAGATAATAATCAGGAAGTGGCATGTATACAATTTCAACATATGTTCTGTCTCAATTCTTTATCCCATCTCATATTGAAGTGTGGGCAGAGATAATTATACGTTGTATGCCATGAAGGCTAATCAGTAAATTGGAGAATGCATGTTTTTTTTATTCCAACATATGTTACTGTTCTTCACAATTCCCAGGTGTGGTTAATCTAGATGTGAAGGTTATCGTACTAAGTGGATCATTTAATTGGCTAAAATGGTCTTGCCTTTGAGTGGTTTTATTTTACAATTGCATGCAAAAGGCAAGTTTATTGACATAATTACTTTTAATTGATGAACAAAGTATGCCTCCAATATTACTATTATGCTTTTTCTTAGCGTGCGTTGCCCACATTTTTTATGCTACCTTAGTATAGTAGTGGTGTGTGCATCGGATGATTGCTTGGAAAATCAACTAATTATTGCTCTTTGTATTCATTTGGGAGTTGGCTGTTATAACTTATTATAAATTTGTATGTGTTTTGGATTCTTTGCAGGTTTTGCAGTTAGTCTGGAGATTGAAGTTTTTCAGTAGGATTACTTGGGTCCAAATAGCTGCGTGGAATTGGCTATGTAGTGTTGGAGATTAAAATCACATAGTGGTGCATTTTCAACGAAGTCATGTTACTCGATTTTTTAAATGCTTATAGCGCCTTCTAGATATGCTTGTGATGTTTTGATATTAATTTTGTTTTTTGAATCAGACTTGTATTGTCTTGTAAACAAATGCTATTTTTTGAATGAATATAATTGGTTGTCTTGTTGTAAATTGTGATGCATCGAGAAAACAGGTTGGACTAAAAAAGGGGGTTAATGGGGCGGACTGGAATGAAATTATTAGGCCAAAACCCTAATTGGGCTTTACTATAGGGGCCATGCTCGCCTCCATGTCAGATCCACGTAGACGCCAAGTTAGGTCCATGTTGCTTCCACGTCATGAAAATCGGTGACGGCTTGTTCCGCCATATCCTAGTTTGGGCCGGGCGGGCCTGGGGCAGATCCATGACGGCCAAGGATCATCATGGAAGGTTATATGTGAAATTATGACGCGATATACATGACGGATTTCAAATCCGTCATGGGTGGGCACGCATGACAGTTTTTGGTTGATCTGTGACGGACTAGGTCCGTCATATATTAACAACTTTCTTGTAGTGATATTGAATTCATGCACCAGCCAACTTACCCAAAAGTCTGAACTGATGGAGGGAGGTGGGCAATATATTTCAACAATGCATGCATCGTTTTCTGATCTCTTGTTAATTTGGTGTGGTGAAAACAAAGGTGCGGCGTTTTCTGATCTCTTGTTAATTTGGTATGGTGAAAACAAAGGTGCGGCTACTGAGCAGGACGGACGTGTTCATCTCGGCGCACGGGGCGCAGATGACGAACCTGGTGTTCATGGACCGGAACAGCAGCATCATGGAGTTCTACCCGATGGGGTGGAGGCAGCGGGCGGCTGGCGGGCAGTTCGTGTTCCGGTGGATGGCGAGCCGTGCAGGGATGCGCCACGAGGGCTCGTGGTGGGACCCCTCCGACGACCCTTGCCCTGATGGTAAGCCGGACATTTTCAGCTGCTTCAAGAACCGGCAGATCGGGATGGACGAGGCCGCCTTCAACGAGTTCACGGCCAAAGTTTTCACCGCTAACAAGGAGCGCAAGTCGGCGAAGGCGCGGCGATGGCAAGAAGCGGGAACTAATTGCAAATGCAGCTAGCCAGCCCTCCCTCTATTTTTGTGGTAATTAAGAATAGGCCCCTTTTTCTTGCAACAAAGTTTGACCACAGCTAATGAGATCAGAGCCATCAAAACGGGCGCAATTGGGACTGTGACACACAGAACCGCAACTATTCTCCTTGTCTTGTTTTCATGGGAATTGCTGGGATGGGCGCTGAGGTTGGGATTGCCAGGTGACGTTGACGTTGACGTCCAGTCTGAAGGCGGGCAACGGCCCTGCCAGATTATTTTTAGATACATCCAGCTTCTTCAGCAATCTGAGCTCCATTAGGCTGGAGGGCACCTGGTCTGTCAAGTTGTTGCCATTCAACCTTATAGCCGAGAGCATAGTAAGATTTTCAAGACTGCTGCTAATACTTCCCCTGAGGCCATATCCCGACAGATTTAGCTGTGAGACTCTCCCCTCATAGCATACCACACCAGCCCAATTGCTGCACGCAACGGCGGAGCTATATACCAGATTATTTTTAGATACATCCAGCTTCTTCAGCAATCTGAGCTCCATTAGGCTGGAGGGCACCTGGTCTGTCAAGTTGTTGCCATTCAACCTTATAGCCGAGAGCATAGTAAGATTTTCAAGACTGCTGCTAATACTTCCCCTGAGGCCATATCCCGACAGATTTAGCTGTGAGACTCTCCCCTCATAG